GAGAAGATCTTCACCCTGAAATCTACAGCGTCCCTTTTCAGCAGGAAGTAGCTAAGAGAATACGCCATCCCCTTTTCCTTATGAATCAGGGTGAAATCTCTCTCAGGTAGGAGTGATAGGGAATGGCAAAGGACACACTGACAGAGGAGATTAATTAGAACTGGCTTTGACAAGCGCCTTGACAACAGACTGCCAAGAAAGGGGAGGAGAAGTACAGTGGAAGTGCTCCTTGGAGGCAAAGACAGCAAGACTTTATCTCACATAGATGGACGTGTTGTCAAGAGGGGCCAGTTCAAGGAAAAGGACACCACGTTCAGAAGAGGAGTGAGTCTGCTAAGTAGACACATAGGGAGATGGACAGACAGCGCCCACACCCATGGACGGAGTACAGCTGGGCAGGAGGCTAGTGCAGGACTTCATTCTGTTGTTGTGAGAGCAATATGAATCTGAGCTGACTCAAAAACAGGCAACAACAATGCATCCCCAAAATGAGATGCTGCCCCTCAGTGGGGGTGTGCCTCACAACCTTAGGCAGCCTGGACCCCACAGTCCCTCTCACTTGTTTTCCCAGGCATCCAGGCCAAGCTCTCATACCTCACTCAGGCTTGGCTTCCCTTCATGGTCTTGCCTCTGCCCCAACCCTCTGAGCACACCTCCTCAGCCTTCTCCGTGGGTTCTCCTTCTCCACTGTCCAACCACAGGGAGTCCTGGTGTTTCTGGCTTCTGTCCCAGTCACATCTCACACTAGCTGCTCTCACGGCCACTGGTTCACTGTCCATGCCTTCAGTGATCTTCCAAATGTGGAACTACCCAGAAAGTGTGGCTTTGGCTTGACCACTGCCCGCTCCATCCTTACTGGCTGCAGAGCAGAGCATCGCCCACCAGCAAGGATCTCCCCCATGGAAGTCTACAAGCATCAGCATGTCCTACACTCATCCATCCTCTTCTTACCTCAGCTCCCCCGGCTCAGTGAGTACCAGGTATTAATTCGACACTTTGCAGTAAGTAGTGACCACACTAAACTCATGACACCAGTGGCCAGGCTAGCTCAGACCTGCCCACTGGGAAATGCTCCAAGAAGTTGGCCAGGGACAGCGGTGACCAGCCTGTAGTCAGCGTAGGGGAAGGAGGACGGTGTGAATCTGCACAGCAGGACCAGCTGCCCCAGCCAGGGCCAGGAACCACTGAGCCCAGACCTCACCCAAGAGCAGGGGTCAGCCCGGAGCACCCACTCCTTCCACAGCTATCCCTCCCCGCCCGGAGCACCCACTCCTTCCACAGCTATCCCTCCCCGCCAAGCTCCTTCAGCATCTCAAGCACTTTGTTTAAGACCCCAAAGTTGTCCTGTGGAGATGCTCATCTTACACTCTCCTCCATCCATACATCCATCTCCCACCATGCCATGTGACATCCTCAGGACAGGGACCAGGTCTTACTCATTTTTATTATCATGGTACCAAAAGAGGGGTCTCTGGGTGGTGGAAATGGTTGGTAACACATTCAGCAGGGTTATGGTTCAAGTCCACCCAGAGGTGTCTCGGAAGAAAGGTCTGGCTATCTCCAGAAAAACCATTTACTAAAGATCCTACAGAGCACACTTCACCCTGACACCCGGAGAGAGTCAAGGACAGCTTGTCAATGGGTCTCCTGGGGTTCAGGAGGCAAAGGTGTCCTAGGCCACACCCTCTTGTAACACGCAAACCTCAGACCTCCGCAGGACTCTAGCTCACCTTGTGGAGAAGGCTCCCGCAGGGAGATACACACTCATCCCAGGACTGAAACGTCTCCAGGAGCTGCAAGGTCAGGCTCCAGACCTATTCCTCCCTCCTGTGTGACCTGAGAAAGGACCTAACCTCTCTGCGTGTGTCAAGCAGAGAAAGCTGGCCACAGCCAGGGTCCACACACCGTGTTCCCCAGCAACCCTGAGCCAAAGGATTTTCAGGCTTTTTACTAAAGTTTAGAAGATTAATTAATAACATTGCTATTTTATTTGCAAATGTATAGATAGATTTTTCTTTAGCCTTCAGCCCCTCCCTGATATCAGGAAATGTCTGACATAGTACTAAACTAAGCAGCTGTGCCCCTGAGGGTACCCCCACCCCACCTCCGGGCCAGCCCTAACAGGCATTCTATGATTATCTGCATTCCTTTCAGATGTCACATGGCCCCTGCTTCAACCTCTCACAAGCTGCCTGTTTCATCCAAGGCAGGACTGACTCCTGCTTCCAGGGGAAACTGAGGCCCAGACAGTAGCAGAGTCAGGCCTG